GCTCGAACAAACCGTTAGCTTCAAGCTGTTAGCTCCTGCTCGAACAAACTGTTAACTCCCGCTTGAAAAAGCTGTTAGGTCCTGTTCGAAGTAGGTGATAGCTCGTTCATTTATCACCTCCTGCTTAAAAAAGTGTGGGAACCTGTTTGGACACTCTGTTCGCTCCTGCTTGAACAAGCTGTTAACTCTCACTCAGACCAGCTCTTTTCTAATTTAGTTGGTTTCCCATCTTCCTCCCCACAGATGCAGAGAATTGAAGCACCAAAGCTGACTTCTGCCACCCCCTCCCTCCCTCCTCACCTCCCCTCTCACTTTGACGTCCTGCAGTCCAGCCACGAGCTTCTCCAGCACTTCAAGCTCTTCTGTGATTGGGCGTATAGAGCGTTCCTCAGCCTCAGGCCCAAAGCTTCTGCAGTGCAATGATGATCCACACAGTGCCGAGCCAAACAGGAGTCCTTGGAGTTCTGCCTTAGTCCAAAGGGGAAACAGGACCATGTCAATGTGCACTGTAGTCGCTTAAGAGGTCCAAATGTTACTGTCAGTGGCATGTGTGTTGAAGAAAGGTGTCTTTCTGTGAGAGCCAGTAAGGATACGGCACACTGCAGCAAGTTTTGGCCATCAAGAATCCCGTTAAAACCAACTGTCCGATTATTTCACAACCCTCCAGTCTCCCTCCTTGCGGCCTTGTTAATACTATGTTATTTATGTATTTATTTATTTATTGCCAGTTAGTAATTTATTTATTTTATTTATTATAAGTTGTAATGTGTCACTCTTCCCTTTATTTCCATACTAACGTGAATATATATGCCAACATTTTTTTTAATGGTCTTTTCTGTCCGCTCTTGTGTCTCACTGATCTTCAAGAAGAAAACATAATTTAAAAAAAAAAAAAATTAAACAGTAGCACTTCTTTAACCTTCATTTCTAGTAAATATTTTAAAATAAACTACTTTAAGTTACTTTTGATATTTGTACTTCTACAGCCATTGGTTTTTCCAGTAGTTGTAGCATGTTGGACAGGAGGAGTTTCCCCCGTTTCCCTCAGAATGCCCTTAAACATGCCAAAAAATGGTAAACCTTTTTCAAACAATGGTTAAATGTACTATGTAAGAATTTGCCACCCACTGCCTTATCAAATTGCTTGTATTTATTTTCAAATGTTTGGATGGTAACTTGTTAGAGGCAAAAAAAAAAAAAAGTACCACAGATTTTCCTATCAAGTCCTTGTGTCCTGCATGAGGAGGCAAATTTAACATTGTGGTAAACTTGTATGAATGTGCCCTCTTGCCGAGCACTGATGGTCCTGATTAGATTCTTTGCACAAACTTATTAGGATTAGCCTCTTGGAAAAGTGAGATGGCTGATTTTGTACTTGAGCTTTGGTCTAGAAAAGTTTCTTATTTTTGGTTAAACACCCAAAGCCTTAAAATACTATGTATTGTGATTCTATGTCCTGTACAGATGTACTTATATGTACAAGAATGTAATATGTTGTATACAGTGTTTTTGTGTTTTATGTTGTTCTCTGCAATATAATGTAGATTACTGGTTTATCACTTTAATTTTTATTCATTCCTATTCTAGTATCTGATACAGTATTGACTATTTATTTAAGTAACTTGGTGGAACTATTTATTTTGTGCTGCAGTGGAGCGAGACTCCTTTCCTTTTGTACTTTTATACAAGTTTTTATTCTTATTCGCTATTATTGTACTACCACGTTTAAATTATTTCTGTAACATCAAGATGCCTCCTCCACACGCTGATTGGCCTCAATGTGAAATATGTGCCTTAGTGAAATAAATGCTAAAGAATGTGCACAATGGGACTGTTTTTTTTTTTTTTTAACCAACCAAGACAGTGCAAGGCAACCAAACATTAAAGAAAATGACATTTAGGAAGAATCATCCAAACGAGAGCAGGGGTATCAGTGGGAAAACACAATAAAAAAACTCCCAAAGGTTTTTGTGCTCAAAGTATGTGTTGATGATGACTCTCAGCAAATACCATGCCAACATTTAGCTCAATAATTGTAGAATTAACTGAGGCACAGACATTTTTGTATTGATTAAAGTGAACTATCTAGGGCAAGGGCCTGCAACCTGCAGCTCTGCAACCCATGCAGCCCTGTGGTTCCTCTGAACCTCTTTCTAGCTTTGATCAAAACTAACCAAAAAAAAAAAGGAAAAAGTAATTATGATTTGATTGTTATACCAACAAGAAAAAAATGGTTAGGTTTAGCAGTTTTCCTGTAATTTATTTAGCAAATTTGTGACTACTAGTACTAATACTAATACAAGGAGTGAAACATACTTACTTTATGTATTGATGCATGCTCAATAATCCATGCTCAATAATCCATGCTCAATAATCCAGGTCTAACAAGGTTGAGTCAGGTCATGGACGGATTCTTCTTTGTTGAAACATTCAGTCTTTTATCCAAAAGGCTTCTTCAGTCTGAAGCACTACGAACAAACTCAGTATTATAAACAGCCATTTAGCCAAATGCCTGTTTATAATACTGAGTTTGTTTGCAGCGCCTCGGATAGAAAAAGTCTTGGATAAAAGATGAAACGTTTCATCAAAGAAGAATCTGTCCATGACCTGACTCAACCTTGTTAGATACTCACTTTATGCTTTATTTCTTCAAAGTGAGATCGTTAATTTTTCCACAATTAAGCATATTCAGTTTATTTTATTTCAATTCAGCTTATTTATATAGTGCCAAGTCACAACAGAAGTCGTCTCAGGGCACTGAACAGAAATATGCATATATAAAATAAGTCAACAGAAACATTCATGTTTAAAATAATAATTTAACATTATTTATCTGAGGAGCAGACTGCTTTGAGTTTAACTCCATCGCAGAACTCTCATATCACATAGACCTGCATAATTCATTGATTAAATTTTAATAAAAATTGTAAAAATCTATATATTTTTTGTTCTTTACAAGAATCTGGTAATTTATATTGTCCTCAAATGTAAATATATCAATAAATACAATACAATACAATAATAAAATACAATTTTATTTATAAAGCACTTTGAAACAACACCGTTGGCCAAAGTGCTGTACACTAACACATACAAGCATAAAAACTATGAACTCAACAAATACCATAAAAGTAATGAACTACTAAATCATAAAACAGCAAACAGTAACAACAATAAAACAAATAACATAAAACAGTAAAGCCAACATTTCAAGCTGCATTAAATGTTAAAAATCATTAGATAATTCTAGTTTTATAATGCCAGCCAAACTTGCAGCTCTGGACACATTTAATTTAATAAAAGAAGGGGCAGATCAGCTTCTTTGATTAGGTTGCAGACCCCTGATCTATGGTATTGGCTAAACTATTTTCAGAAAATTTCAGTAAAATCTGTCAACTTTACTAACAAAACAGAGCCGATTAATCCCAGATGTTTTAAGCAAAATACTGCACAATGTGCAGCACTTGAATATGTGTTATAGCTGATGCTCACATACCACCACGTTAAATTTTAACTAAATATTAGTAAAATTGACTCAGTTAAAGTAATTTTTGTGTTGGCTAAGATCGATAAGATGTGGCAGCCACCTTGAATTGAGTTGACTCTAAAACTTATTGGGTTGTAAAATATTGCTGCTGCGTTCCTTTCACTGAAACTCAGATCTGGAAATGTCCAACCTGACTTAAATGTGTTCTAGTTGCATCTCAGAAAACCTGTAGGATTTTTTAATGGTGATGCTCAGTGACCCAGGCACTACATATGGCAATGCAAGCTGATAACAATAGCTTTATTTGCATTCTGACCATTCAAACAACAATAGTGGTTGGAATGGGAAGTAATTTGTGTCTAACTGAATTACTACAACATAACAAATTCAGTTAAAAGTTTTTTTTTAATTGAAGCTATCAAATCTTTTCATTTGCAGGTCAGCCATATTGTATTTTGAGGTCAAGACTGGTCAATTAAATTAAATTCAGTTTAATTATATAGCACCAAGTCGCAACAGATGTCATCTCAGGGCACTGTACAGAAACATTCATATTTATAAAAACAAGTTAATAACAGTATTTATCTGAGGAGGAGACTGCTTTGAGTCTTAACTTGGTTGCAGACTCTCATCTTGAGCAAGCATATAGGCAACAGTGGAAAGGAAAAACTCCCTCATGAGGAAGAAACCTCCAGCAGAATCAGGCTCAGGACAAGAGGCCATCTGCATCAGAATCATAAACTTTCTTAGAGTTTGTATTCTCAGAGCCTCTAAGAATACAAACTCTAAGTTAGAGGATGTTCCAGTTATAATTTTCTATCTTGGAAGTTGGAACCCAAATATGGAAAACATCAACTTCATTAGAAATAAAACTTTTGCTTTTATTTACTTAAATCATTCTGCTTTTCTGTGGTTATCTTCTGAGGTTATCTTAAGCACACACACCACACACACACACACACACACACACACACACACATATATATATATATATATATATATATATATATATATATATATATACCTCTAAAGGTATATATATATTTACCTCTAAAATTCATTTGATTATTTGATTATATAAAATACATATTTATGCTGTGTTATATGCTTATTAAACCAGGATTACTGCGGAATGATGCAATCTACTACATTACCCAGAAGTCTCAGCGGCTCGACGGATACATTTTTGTAGATAAAGGATCGTGAATCAGTCTTAAATAATTTTGTTATTAGTTTTAAACGCTTTTGAAACAAATTTCAGTTAAATTAGTGTAATATTAATAATTTATATGAGGTTTAAGAACGTTTATCTGTGTATTAAACCTTCTGGCCAATCGTAGTCGCTCTTTGTTTCGACCTCGCAGCCAATCAGCGTCGTCGTTCTTAGAAGGGTGGAGGACTGCTGTTAGTTTGCGCCGCTGTTTTTATTGTTAAGGTTGTGTGGATTAGCACTCCAGCATCCAGCGTCTTACTGCAACAATTATTACAATATGGCTCGAAGATGAGTTAGAAGTGCACGGTGAGTTCCTGTTCTGCTCGGCTTCGTCCAACTAGCGAGCAGTTAGACGAAGTTATTTTGCTCCAATAAGTGCTTCGTTAGCTTTAAATAGGCCACTGGCTGCTTTTTGCTGATACTGTGAAAATCTGATGTGTGTGTGTGTTTCCTGCTGGCTAGCTACTCTGACCAGTTTAGACGTAGTTTATGACCTAACCGTGTCAAAATGTGTGTTTTAGCGGTTTCCGGTTCGTGAGGATTATCAACACCGCACTGCGGGGACGCACAGGGAGCTCACGGCCGGAGGGAGGACCATCTCCTCTTCAGGCACGAGACGAGGGAGGGGGGAGAATTTAAAGGGGACATTCTTCCCAGGACTTACACCACCGTGTTTACTTCCATTTCACTTCATGTCAGACCCATCTCCGAGCCTCTCCACTTTGGGATGACAGCTGCAGTTTCCAGGAGTGAAAGTTGATCAGTCACAGAAGAAAACATGAAGGAAGGGTGAACTATGAGGCTGCACCAACACTGATCCCCACTTGCTTCCTAAGAAATCCCGTCTGCCACTAGACTGACAGATTTGGTGATGGCGAACTCCGTGGCCCTGGTGGTACAAGCAGAACTCTTACCCACCCAGTCCACTAACTCCCTCTCCTCTTACCCACCCCATCTTGGGTCAGGAGAGGATGGTGAGGAGGACGTGGAGAGAGGAGAGCTGGTGGAGGAAGACAAGGGGGCAGTGGACGGTGGAGAGGACGTGGTACTGGACATGGTGACGTCGTCTGCGTCAGAATCGGCTCCTCAGTCGGAGCAGTCAGAACACCCCTTTCAGTGTCTGGATTGTGGGAAGAGCTTCAGGTGGTCGTCCAGGCTGACTCACCACCAGAGGAGCCACAACAACGAGAGACCGTACCGCTGCAACCTCTGCCCCAAGGCCTTCAAAGGCTCCTCTGCTCTGCTCTACCACCAACGGTACACCTATGTGAAAACGCTCTCCTATGGCACTGATCTGAATGGTTAACATAGCTTATGCTCGAAACATCGCTTGGGGGGGAAAACCGTCAGATTCTAAACTTGTATCAACTCTCAAACAGGGTAAACATGTAAATTAGAATTGACATGGTGCGAACGGTAAGATCACTCTGCCCATGCAGAAACGTAACCCAGGGTGAGCTAACCTTTGACAAACCAACAAAAAAGGTAGTGAAGCTCACAGTTACCTGAGGTATTTAGTGAGGCATTTCTGCCTTATCAGCCAACATTAAGGCAAAGAAGACAGGAAAAAAAGTCAAATATATAAGATACTAATACAGTAGTCCCTCGTTTATAATAATAATAATAATAAATAAAGTGCTATGTGTTGTCATCATTGTATGTTCCCATACAAAGACAAAATTGGTTCTCTGCCTTTAACCCATTGCACCTGGGATACACCCAGGTGGAGTAGTGGGCAACTATGTAAGCGCCGGGGGAGCAATTCGGGATTGGATGTCCTGCTCGGAGACGTCGAACCCAGGACCTTTGGGTCCCGAGTTGGCTGCCCCTACACCATCTCGGCCCCCTTATCGCGGGGGATCCGTACCCTGAACACCCACGATAAGTGAAAAACAGCCAAGTAGGGATATTAGTACAAGTAGTAGTTTATTTTAGTGTGCGTATATATATATATATATATATATATAAAGGTGTTTTAAACCCTTCCCACACACTTGCAATATTCAAAATAATGTTTCTCAACTCTAAACATTCTAAAAGAGCACAGAATGTCATGATTTCAGCCCCTCCTCCGCTGCTCTCAGCCACCTACAAGTGTTCGAGGCCATGCCCACTTCTCTCTACACAGACTACAGCTGATCAGCTGCAGCAGGAAGATTATTCTGCAGTGTGGCCTGCAGCAGGTGCTACATAATTTTAAATAATTTATTTTTCAATAAGAAGTCCATGCCGATCGTGTGGCTCATCCATCAATCAGCCAATTGTGTGTCATCTCCAATCTTATTTTGAAAAACTGCGATAGAGCGAGTCCGTGATAGAGCGAGTCCGCGATAGAGCGAGCGACTACTGTAATTTCAAATAGTTTCTGCAGCAGATGTTTTCATGCCACAGAGCAACACAGGGCAAGAATTTACTGTGAAATTCAGTATGTGCTAAGAGTGTAAACGTGACATTACACAGCCTATTAAACACTTTGTACAAAATCAGTTTAGTTTTATTAATAATAATAATGTCATCACTGTATGTTTCCATACTATGGCGAAATTAGTCTCTGCATTTAAGCCATCCACCACCAGGTGGTGCAGTGGGCAGCTATTTTGGGGATGAGGTGTGCTGCCCAGAGACGCCACGTGATATGCAGTGACTGGGGATCGAACCTGGGACTTTCGGGTCCCAAGCCGGCTGCCCTGCCTCTACACCATCACGGCTCCCAACAAAGACTAAACTTATGCACCCAGAAGTTGCAACATATATCTACATTTAAAACACAAAACGAAGAACAACTAGCTTCAAGCATTAACCTTTAATTTAACCATTAATCATGCAATGCAATTATGACCATAAATTTCATTCATTCAACCTTTATTTAGGCAGATAAGTCACATTGAGCCTAGAAGACTCGTTTACAAGTGAGATCTGTTTGGACAGACAAAAAGTAGTGAAACTGGACACGTAGGAAGTGAAGACAAAAAAATTCCTATCAGACTTTTTCTTCTTGGCTGAAAAGAAAAACTCTAATATTAAAAAACCCTCGCACAACAAGCACATAGTGACGTAGACATTCCGCAGAGGGGGTGAGACGACGAGAGCGGTGAGCAATGTCCATGGATGCTCTCGAGGACACTGTAAGAGTTCTGATAAGGATGGAATAATCAGCCAGTTTCCTCCAGTGAGATCCGTAAACATTCTCGAGGGATGTCGGGGAATGGCCAAGGATAACGCCTTTGGGAATTCAAGAGTCCTGAAATGATGACACAATGTTTATTCAGCTGGTTTCCTCTTGTTGATCAGTTGGAAATTCCTCGGGGGGTGGGGGTGAGCGTCAGATTACATGTTCTCCAGGTGAATTCAGATAAGATGGCCTATAAGGCCAGCCAGGGGAGCTAAATTCAGATAAACACACAGTTGTTTTGGGGACAGGCAGAACTTAATGACATCTTCCTTCAGTCTGTGTTGGTCCAAACGGTTCCGAAATGTCCAAATTACATGGCCAAACCAATGGAACATGCCTGAGTAAAATCCCCGAGATCTGATCCATTCTGCCCAAAGCATTTGAGTCTGGGTACTTGAAGCAGGAACCAAGCCATCATAAAGGCAAGCAGCGTGATCGGGTCAAAATTTGCAGCCACCAACTTCCTTGATTGATAAAACCAGCAACCAGCTGAATCCAAAAATCAGGAACCAGTTATCGTAAATCCAATTAAATATGCATCCTTAAAATCCACAAATGGCAGCAGAGATAGACACATCATCAAGTCTTCAAGTCGATGAGATATCCAGCTGCGTGTGTGCCAGCAGGACAAATCGGCTCGCCTAAAGTCTGTCTTCTCTTCGAAGAAATGTTGTAAAATTGTGTTGAGGGACAAATTGATCAAAACAAGTCCATAATTATGGTTTGGAAGATGCAAGAGAGGCTCAGAAGCAGTTTCACAGACAGAGCAGCAAAGCAAAGTGGAGAGGGAGAGGAGGGCAAAAGCGTCCGACCTCGGCAAGAGCAAGTGGTGACGTAGAAATGGAAGATTTACCTGCAGTTACCTTCGTACAGAAGAACATGGTACTCCCTGTTTATCACCGTTGTATTCAGCTGATCATGAGGTCGGCCACCGGCCTTTATCTATCTTTTACATTTTTCCTATAAACTGTATTCCACCCTCTAAACCAAATATGTCCAACTCAAATCTCAAACTTAAATGTGTTTAGATACAGCTGTTGTGTTTCTTATGGTTGTTTGGCTGTGGTGGCCATCTTGAATAGGGTTGGCTCCAGAAATTAGTCAATTGTAGATGTGCATCTAATGATAACTTTCTGATTTATGTTCAAATCTGGTCACTGGTTTGAGTTATTTTGCTAACACTACAGTTAACTGAACATGCACAAAGGTACAAGCAATTTTATTATCACTGTTTTCCCTTCAGCAGTGGACTCTTATGTTTCAGGAAAACAGTGTGAAATTCATAACAGTCGTTATGAAGAACAGAAGTTCACATTAATGTTTTTTTTTTTAAAGCAATTTCTGTTTAAATGTTTTATTTTGTGTTTAAAATAATTGTAAGTAAAGATTTATATTTTATTCCTAAATGGCTAGTTTATTTTTGCAGGTCACACTCAGGAGAAAAGCCGTATAAATGCCAAGACTGTGGCAAAGCCTTCAAACGCTCATCTCTCCTCCAGGTGAGAAATCCAATAAAGGCTTCGTTTTTTTAAAGGGAGGTGTTTAACCATTTCCGTCTGTCCTCAGGTCCATCAGAGTGTTCACACTGGAGTCCGTACTTTCTTGTGCCCCTATTGCCCCCTGACCTTCAAATGGAGTTCTCACTACCAGTACCACCTGCGTCAGCACACTGGAGAGTGCCCGTACCCCTGTGACACTTGCCCAAAGGCTTTCAAGAACTCGAGCAGTCTGAGGCGACACAAGAATGTCCACCTTGGCCTCAAGCCTTACACGTGCTCGGTGTGCAACAAGTCGTTCACTCAGTCGACAAACCTGAGGCAGCACATGAGGATACACACAGGTGAGAGGCCGTACGTCTGCAGCGAATGTGGACGGAGCTTCACGCATTCATCGAACCTGGCGCTGCACAAGAACTCGCACGCCAACCTTAATGCAGGAGCCAAGGAGGGCAAGAGGGGGGAGGATGGACGGAAGAGGAATGAGGTACCGGTAGTTGAAGTGGTGGTTGGGACAGAGGAAGTGACATCATCGATGTTGACAGACATGGTGGAGTTTGTGAGCCAGGAGGGCACAGATGGAGTTGGCATGGGGATGGAAGAAGTGTTTCTTTCAACCACTTCCTCTGGTCAGACTCCAGGTCTTCTCCCCCAGCTCACTCTCACTCCCTCTGAGGGGGATGTGTGCGCATCTCGGGCCATCGGGACCGAGGTTCACCTGAGCACTGACACCGGGGCCAGTGTGCTGCTGTACAGCTGTGGCAGCTGCAGCCACACTTTTGGCTCACGGACTGAGCTGGAGGAGCACCAGGCCATTCATATGGCTCCAGAGGAGCATGGAGCCAGTGGAGAGGCAATACAAGGGGAAGAGATGGAAGTTGGGGATGGGCTTGTGGGAGCTGGACACCTGCTGGCTGACTTTGAGGAGGTGGTGGAGACTACCACTGTGGCTGAAGGCGGACACACAGCCGAGGTGATCTTCGGTTTGACAGAAGGTGCAGATGGCAGCAATGCTGTAAGTAGGAAATGAACCATTCCACATGCTTTAATAAAACACCAACATCCTAAGTTCAGCACTTCATGTATGAGTAAGACATTTAATTAATTGGGAAATTCATCTTCTGACGAGCTTTCAAACCACTGTGCCCACTTTTATTAAGCGTGACAGAGATTTGCAATCATAGCTTTCTTTCGGTTGCTCCCTTCTTCAGGGGTGGCCACAGCAAGCAAACTCGCTGTACAGTAGTCCCTCGTTTATTGCGGGGGTTACATTTTGGACCCCCCGGCAATAAGTGAAAAACCGCAAAGTAGGAATGCTATAACTGTTCAGTCGGGTCATCTGGACGGTTTCTTCCAGAAACCGACCTGACTGAACATTGTTGGATTTTGTACCTGGATTATTGAGCGTGGACTTTGGTGTGGGAATGCTATATTTGTTTTAGTATTTATATATATTTTAAGGCTTTATAAACTAGGGGTGCACAGATAAATCAGCCGGCTGATTTATTGGCCCCGATTTCCTTAATTTTGGGCCATCGGCCGATACTTGCATGAGAAAACGATTTTATCGATTTTTTTTTTTTTTTTGTAGTTTTAACAATTGTCTGAACTTTACTTATATTTCAGAGCACTACATGGCCAGTTAAAACAAGTTTATATTGTTTCTAGGATATTGTTCAAGAGTATGGTTTTCAATAAAATAAGATTGGAAAATTGAAGGTGCATTGTGACCTTATAAGTCAAAGTGAAAGTTTCTTTATTTGTCATACGCACACATGTACATGTGGTGGGACGAAATTGTGTACACAGGGTTCCAGTTACATCCAACAAAAGTATAAAATGTAAAATAAAAACAGTAATAAGATCTAAGATATGAACTAAGAAAAACATTAAACTAAAAATACTAAATAACACCTGATAACCTAATAACACCAGACAATGTCGCTTATCAAACTAAATCGGAATCGGCCAGAAAACTGCAATCGGTGCACCTCTATTATAAACCCTTCCCACACTCTTGCAATATTCTAAAATTTTAACCTACATAATTTTAATACCATACGTATATGTACTGTACAGTACTGAAATATTTTACTCACCTGCTCTGCAGAACAGCAGCTCGGTTCCGGTCGGTCGGGCTCGGTTCTGGCTCTGCAGACCTACCCTGCAGCGACGAAGCCCACAATGCTCTAAACTGTTAAACCTACATCATTTTAACAACATACGTATATGTACTGCACAGTAGCTATGTACTACAAACAAAACCACACAATGGTCTCGATTGAGTCCAAATCCGGATGAAAAAAGTCCTGGTGAGCGCCGGAGAAAACACTGGACCTCCAAGCAACCCTGCCAGAGAGGCTCCCTGGGCTGGTAAGCAGCACTCAGATTGACTGATGATGCTGGAAGTCCAGTCCTGGTCCAATTCCCTGTCGGTTCCGTACGGCTCTCTGCATCCACTGAGCGCCAAATTCACTATGAATAAGGACTGAATTTTTTCCGATCGGATCAAAACTTTCCCTCCATTCCAGCAGAAGGCAACAGCTGGAAGCACTTGGGAATTCTGGGTAGTGCACTGTTGGTTTTTGGGTAATGTAGTCCTTTTGACTGGCAATACAGTGTAGGCTTATTGAGAGAAAACTACAAAATGACGGCGCATGCCCAAGTTTTTTTTTTTTTAACTTTTTGCTGTATCCCGTACTGCCCCAATCACGTGAGTAATATTAAAAATGACAATTGTGTGATGTGTACAATCTTACTTTGACAAACCACAAAAGAGCAAGTCCGCAAAAGTCAAACCGTGAAGTATCGAGGGACCCTTCCTGATGCAACCACCAATCACCACGCTACCCCTCTGTGTGGAGCAGAGGGCTGCCACCTAAGGCCCCTGGGGAACAGCTGGGGGGTTAAGGGCCCAAAGTGAGGCAAATGAAGGTGGAGGCAGGTGTGGATGCTTCACCCTTCCTACGTAAATTTTTGATGTAATGGCCGAGAGGATTAGAACCGGCAACCTCTGTACCATAGGTTCACCTTTTCTAACCTCTGTGCCACCACTCCACCTGATTGATGCTGAGTGATTAATTGTAATCAGTAAAATTATAACTGCAAAAAAAATCCTTTTTCCAGTTGGATATGTTGTAGTTCATAGTCCTGTGCAAACACTTTATCCACCTCCACCCTCCCCCACTGGTGTTGATCCAGTGTTTTTCTTCACATTTTGTCTTATTTCATTTCAAGCCAAAGGTTTTCATGTTTAAAATATGTTACTTTCTTTTGGTTCCTCCGCAGAATGTGTGCACCACCCAGGCCCAGTTTGACCTGCTGCAGCGCTTCACAGAGGTGACTCAGAGCTCTGAGCCTGTTCAGCCAGAGGCCAGAACCACATGGGCAGGGCTGTCATGTGGCTACTGCAGTAAGAGCTTCAAGACCAGCGGAGGCCTCAATAGACACGTGTCACTGGTGAGAACTACTGGACTTCATATCAAAAGCCAGGACTCACAGTTTCTATGAACGTTGTCTCTTTTTGTTTCCCCAGATGCACTCTCTGTCATCACAGTGCCGCTCCCAGTTCAGCTGCTCCGCTTGCGACCGCTCTTTCCCTCTTCTCTCGTCACTCCTCACCCACCAACACTCCCACACCCCGGAGCAGCGCCTCCTGGCCGAGGCGGAGGCTGAAATAGTGTGTCCTCCATCCCTGTCCCTGTCTCTCCCCTTGCCGTCCTCTCCCGGCCAGGCCGACAAGCAACAGGAGGGCCAGAGAGAGATCCACATCGACATCATAGCTGTTTGCGAGGAACAAGAGGAGCACCAGCCTAAACTGACCAGAGCTCAAAAAAAGGCGGGGACCAGCAAGAGCATTCCTGCTGGAGGTAAATATCATCAGGAGGTAAAATGAAGCCTGTCTCACAACAGTCTGAATGCATCAGTGCTGCGTTGCTGAGAATGCTCCACCACTGAAGCTGTAGGATGTGCTGCACGGAAACATCTGGATTAACCACAGATGTTCAGTTTTTTGTAACACGGAGAAAAAAAAGAAAGGGAACTGCCTCTATGATTATAGAGGATTAAATCAAAGCTAAATTTATTTGTTTCATTTGGCAAATTTTGCAAGTTGACAATCTGATGGTGTTTAATTAATTTGGATTGTTCATCCGTCCATTATCTGCCGCTTGTTCTGGAGTCGAGTCACGGGGCAGCAGCTTGAGCAGGGAAGCCCAAACATTTCTTTCCCCAGCCACCTCTTCCAGGAGGATTCCAAGGTGTTCCCAGGCCAGCTGAAAGACAGTCTGTCCTGCGTGTCCCGGGTCTTCCCTGGGGTCTACTACCATTTGGATATGCCTAGAAAATCTCCCTAGGGAGGCTTATGGGGGTATCCCTACCAGGTGCCTAAACCACCTTAACTGGTTCCCATCGATGTCGAGGAGAAGTGGCTCTACCCCAAGTTTCTCCCAGATAACTGAACTTCTCACCCATCTATGAGTGAGCCCAGCTACCCTGCAGAGCAAACCTTTCAACCACCTGTATCTGAGATTTCATTCTTCTGGTCACTACTCAGTGTTTGTGACCATATGTGAGTGTAGGAATGTAGATGGCTGGTAAAGAGAGAGCTTATCCTCGCAGGTGAACTCCCTCTTCACCACAACGGACCAGCACAGATGGACCCAATACTGCAGAAACTGTACTGGTCCATTTGTTGATCTCATGCTCCATTGTTCCTTCACTGTGAACAAAACTTTGAAATGTTTAAACTCCTCCACTTGAAGCAGCATCTCATTTCTAACACAACAAAATGGATCATATTATTGGACTGGATTGACTGAGACTGTATAAAGAACTGTTTCCTTTCTCCATTTAGTGTCGAGATCCAGAGAGGATTATTTTGGTCACTTAGCACTAAATTAATAGAATGAACTGAAATTCAGTTCTTACAAACTAAAAACATGTTATGTAAAACAACACCTACAGCAATTATCTGTCCTTTAGAGCAGGGGTTCTCAAACTTTTTGGGTTCAGGGACCCCCTCATAACCCTCATGTTTATTAAATAATTGTCTTCAATTTGTCTCTTTAATGCAATGGAAATATTTATGTAACATAAATACTTGAAATCTGTTCTTTAATAGTGTTAATACAATTTTTATACTTTTAAACATTTAAACATGGGGTATTTTTCATTCAAGACACACTTAATTAACAATTTTTTTAATTTCAGCTTCCAAAAATTACAGTTTTGAGAAAATGAACAGCATCAAAATCCTTGTTAAAACTTGCCTATTCACTTATAAATGTATCACCACTTCTTCAAATTATTACAGAAAACTCTTTACATAAAACTGAGAGAACCCCTGCTTTAGAGTAAAGAATTCATTATTAGTAATCAGAGATCTTAAACTGTTAAAGTGATTTTCCTTTTTTCCTCCCTTTTTATTTACATCATATTACACTTTGTGTGCACTTTATAATTGTGCACAGAGAGACCGTATCGTTGTTCAGAATGTGGAAAAGCCTTCAAAGGCTCCTCTGGGCTGAAGTACCACATGAGGGATCACACTGGAGAAAGACCTTACCGCTGCACCGAGTGTGGAAAGAGCTTCAAGAGGTCCTCACTGCTCTCCATTCATCAGCGGGTGGGTCTCTTCGTTTTTAGTTAAGGTGTCGTGAGGACTTTTGCGTTGAAGTTCTTACACAACGCTTCAGCTGAAACAGCCCTTGTATAAGATTTATTGATTTATACCAGTTATTCTTATACTGACTGACACTCTTCTTGCATTAAATTTATAATGGAAAACAAAGGAAATTTTTTTAGGATTTTTACATGATGGGAAAAATAATATTAGCATCTATTTTTAGGTGGTTGTGTTGGTGAGAGCTGTTGTCATTGTGTCAAGAAATTTGTTCAGATTTGGTAGTCCATCTTTAACTGGCACTTTAAAAGATACTAGATCTTGTAGAAGAAATGTAATTGTTTTAACAGTAAACAATAAGTAAAAATTGCAATTACTGAAACCACTATGTGTAACTTGAACTCAGCCTTCTGTCATATCCTTTCAGCAACTGCAGCACGTATGAAATTCAGGGTTGCTGCCTAAAGTATCTGACAAAGTCTTTCTGACAAAAAAAAATGAATATCAAGAAATCAAGCAGTATTTGGTATTTACAGTAACGACTATTTGGTGGTGAAATGTTATAATTTTAACAGCTTTGCAGCTAAGTTTGAAGTTTAATTTATTAAAAACAATTTCACATATTATCATCTTACCGTTCCCCAGGTACATACGGGAGTCCGAGCGTTCCAGTGTCCTCACTGCCCTCTTACATTCAAATGGAGCTCTCACTACCAGTACCACCTGCGGCAGCACACAGGTGAGAGGCCTTACGTGTGCAAAGAGTGCGGCAAGTCTTTCAAGAACACCAGCTGCCTGCGGAGGCACAGTCAGATGCATTCGGGGCTGCGGCCTCATACGTGCTCCATCTGCTGCAAATCTTTCTCCCAGACGTCAAACCTCAAGCAGGTCAGTGCCGTCTCGCAAATATTGTCATTCAAATTGACATCTGATCTTAGTTTTTGTTTTCTCAATTCTTCCTCTCTGTCTTATTTCTTTGAGTGCAGCATGAGCGTACCCATTCGGGAGAGAGACCTTTCCACTGCACACACTGCAGTAAAAGTTTTACACACTCCTCCAACCTTCAGCTTCACCTTCGTACACACTCTTCACGCAAAGACTTCAAATGCCCGTACTGCTCTAAGGAGTTTGTCATACACTCGTACTTGCAGAGACATATCCGTACCCACGGCAGTGGTGTTTCCCTTCCTGGCACAGGTGGTGGGAGTAAAGACGGTGTAGCAGTGAGAGCCAGTTTGGGAGGAGTAACCACCACCACAACCCTGTTCAATCCCATCACCCTGGAAGCCTCAGGAAAGAACGGCAGTCTGATTGTGTCCCAGCCAGCTCTTAATATTCCCCCCAACACCTCCCAGAACTACTTTATGATTCAGACAGCCAACGGCTTGCAGCTTATTCCTCTGTCATCCCCTGCACCCGTTCCTCCACCGCCACCTCCTCCATCCCCGTCGCAGAGCTTCCTCCTCTTTCAGTGTCCCTCCAATAACGGCGGTCAGTCCAGGTTAATTCTGCTCCCCACAGCAAACGCTCCTCCGGCAGCTCCAGATCTTCAGCCTCTTCCTGTACTTCAGACTGTTCAGGCATTCCAGCCCGTTCTCAACCAAACACAGACTCAGATGGCACAGTTTTCAGCTGTTTCCCAGCAACAACAGCCCACCAAGATCATAATCACTAACACCGCGCACACTCCAGCCGCCAAACCGACACACAGCATCCCACCAAACTCCATGCTGACCAGACCCATATTAGGGAGAAGCACACGAACAGCTCGGGGCCGACGGGGGCGCAAACCGAAAGCTGCTTTTCAGAAATCCTCACCAGACAGTCGGACTGCAGGTGGTGGAGCTGTTCCAGTAACAAACGGCAGTGCTGTTGACACATCATCACTGGGATCTCCATCCGCTGACTCTCAGCTTCCCAACGTATCAGCGACTGAAATCGGAGAGACGACGTCACTCGTGTTGCAGATCGACAAAGGTGATCAAGACAAAGACGAGAAAGGGGACGATTTGAGAAGGATGGTGTCACTTCTGCATGAGTGGGACGAAAGTAAGCAGGAGGGGAGACAGCCAGGGATGAAGGGCAACCAGGGCAAGTCGTATGTCTTTCATTTCCACACTGCGGCACAAGACAGTGCTTCATCCACAGCTTCCTTCAACCAAGGGCAGGACAACAGCGTGGAGCTCTCCTGCACACCCACCCAAGCTTTTGTACCACTCGATAGACAGGAAGTGGTGTTTGATCTCGGTGGGGCAACCAAGATGGAGCAAGAAGCCGAGGGGGGTATGCAGATGATAGCTCTGATCGAAGGCGAAGGAGAAATGTTGGCAGAAGAGGGGGCAAGGTGCAATACTGCAAACAATGCCGTTTCTGAGGATGTGGGAGACATGGAACGTATATTTCAGCTGCAAAACGGAGATGAAATCGTAATAATTGAGGTCAGCACCAGCGGACTACGGGAAGGAAGAATGGATAGAGGAGCCGAGGGGGAGATGTCTCCAAGAAGTGATGAGAAACAGGAAACCATAACGTTAGACGCAAAGGACAACTCTGTCAAAGAACACAACTCTGTAAACGGCTCAGAGGTGCAATTATCAACTGAAGCCACTAGGAAAAGTGACTATGTCTGACTCTGGCGAGGCGGGGTTCACAAAGTAGGAACTGTTAGTGGGGAAGTGAAGGTCTCGCTTTGTGGGCTGTTTGGTAGCACTTTATTCAGTTAAGTTCTCCAGGACCAGGACCTGAACATAATCATGCAGTTTGACAAACATTGAGCTGTAACGCAATGGTGCCACAACTAGAAATGTTATACATTCAAATAGGCTGAAAATGGACCTCAGAATATTCCTAATGATTAACTTATACTGTCTTTGGCAGTTTGTTTTAGTAAATATGATTGTAAATAAAAAATGTTGTACATGCCCCACTTTTGTCACAGTATTGATAGCAAACGGTGATGACTTATTAATAAATTGGTTAAAATGTTTGATTGTTTGACTTCCTTGACAACAAAAAAGAGACAAGTTTACTGCCAGTGCTACAGTTTTCGGTGAATGACGTTAAATTAGGAAGCAATAAATTATACATCTCACCTGAAGTTGCTGGCAGACAGCCAAACACACAAGCCAATCAAATAAAATGTGCAGATTTATGTAGATCTATAACTATAGCAGTGTTCTCAACTGCTGTTAGGTGTCTGGACTGGATTGGACCGACTCCTAACAGGTCAGTGGTCAGGCTGCTGGAAATCAATCAACACAGGGTGCACAGTGGTCCCTCTTTTATCGCGGGTATTTGGGACCACGTCCACCCGCAATAAGTAAAAAAACTGCAAAGTAGGGATACAGTAGTTCAAGTTCAGTAAACTTTGTCATGACGTGCCAGGCTGCAAGTACACTCCTGTTAATCCCTATCTCCTTAAATTATTTAAATACTGTAATATTTTAAATAAAAAATCCATGCAGCATGGATTGTTTATTTAAAATATTACAGTACAGTATTTTAGTATATAGAGATATATAGATAAGTTTAAAAAAAAACTTTTCACACTCTGGCAATATTCTAAACAATGTTTCTAAACTCTAAACACTAAAAGAGCACAGAATGTCATGATTTGAGCTCTGCCTCACTGAATTCAGCCACCTGCAAGCGGTCTTGGCCACGCCCACTTCCCACTCTGCATGGCGCAGCAGCAGAGGCCGGGATCTACTGGCAGCTACCAAACCCAAGCTTAACCAGAAATCACCCTAGGAGCCTGTGTAATAAATAACCTCGCCCATACCCGTTAGCCTAAAGTCGTATGACAAATACATTTTGTTATAACGCAGTTAAGTCTTGAAATAACACATTTTTATTAATAAGTGGTCAAAAGGAAGCGTATTCATGGCCGTATGGTATGTCCTGGTTTGGTCGTGCGGAGCGGAATGTGTTTACGCAAATGGCGTAAACTGACACTGGGTATCTATGCTGGGTATGACGTAATCCGAAACGGAAAGGCGTAAACGTGTTATTCACAATTACGCACTTAACGCAAGCGGCGACATTTGTGATCGTTTGATGATGTCCACACGGACTGGACAAACAGAAACTCGTGTGTTAAAACAACAACAATACAATTCTCACGGCTGAGTACAATTTGAGCTTCTCCGTGCAGAAGGTAAGCAGAGCTGGGGGGCGGGTGGAAGCACATGGGATCAGAAGCCCCGAGCAGTTCACTGCAACCATAAATGGTTTGGAGCCATGTCATTTAGCTCACAGCGGCACCTTTGATGAAAGCTGCGAAACGCTCAAATTAAAACTAAATCTGTGGTCATTGTAACAAATGGTGCGTTCTGCTAATCCCTTGTTTTTGAATTTGCAGTGAAATCTGGACTACCAGTAAGTTCATTGCATTTTGCGCATTCACACTGCAATTACATGGATTCATTTACGGTCCATGTCTCGATAATATTGTTACGTTCTAACCAATTTGCCAGTGAGGAATGGTGATTTAGATGTAGGAAAAAAAACACACTATCCTTTAAAATGTGTTTCAGACTCTTGTTTACACTGTGTAGATGTTCAGCCCACCCAGTGTGGAGAAACGGGTGCAGTAGGTCTGCTGCTGGAGCCTAAACATGGTGAGGTTGGAGCTGGACCAGGTGCTGGTGAAGAGGATGAAGGAGGATGACATTGAAGTGGTCAAAGCCCTCGTCAAGGTTTGTCAAACACTTTCTGTTAAATGTTGACGCTCAAGCCCAGGCTGATTAAAATCGGCATCTTTTTTCCCAGGAAGGCTGTGAGGGCACAGAGAACCGTCTGATTCTCCACATCCTCACTCGTCCGCTTTGCCTTTTCATCCTGGCCATTTTCTCCTCGGTGCTGCGCTGCCTCGTCCACTCCTTCATCCTGGCGCTTGCTATTCCCGTCTTCCTGCTCATTGTGTTTCTCAAGATAACCATGCCACGGTCAACAGGGGTTCTGGGCAGCAGCCTCCCCTACTGGGATTACGTGGGCAGCAGCTTCAGAGGGCTGCAGGACGAGACACTGCAGAATCCTTATTGTCGGACCGGTGGAAAGGCACTTGGGACTAAAAAGGTTTGAAAACAATCTGATTTTACTCCGCTTTATTTTGCAACAGTTGCAGATAATTAATGCAGATTATTTCTTGTTATTGTTGCTGTTTAGCAAAGACGGAGAACTGGATCCAAAGAGAAGGAAGTGTCATCAGAGGAGGTCACCGCGGAGAGGGAGCAGGCAGCAGGTCAGGTGTGGGTGGCGGACTGCGAGGGGGAGATCGTGGGCTGCATCTTCCGGGAGAGTGAGACGCGACCAGGCGTGAGACGGATCTGCAGGCTGGTGACGGGCTGCTGGTACCGCAGGGAGGGCCTCGGCCGACTGCTGGTCCAGAGTTTGGAGCAGAAAGAGAGGGAGACGGGCACCCACAGGGTGTACGCACACATCCCCTACCCATCCAAAGTGGGGGAAACCTTCTTTAGGAAAGTGGGCTATCAGCAGCTGGAGGAAGGGACTGATGAAGAAGACGAAGATGAGCTGAGGAAGGAGACTCCAGAGAGAGGATTCCTGGGATACCCTCTCACTAAGGTTTTTTACAAAGACTTGTAACGGGGTGATACTCGGGCAGGTCAAACAGAAGGTAAATGGACTACTTGTATAGCACCTTTCCATCTAATCAAGATGCTCAAAGGGTTTTACAACACAACCTGTGCCCTCATTAACCTCCACACGCACATGCATACAGCACATCTACAATCATCTCTATACATCTCTACAAAACTAATCTGAATCTGTAGAGACTAATCAGTGGTGACGTACAGTAAATGCATACATTAAATACATTTTGAATGTTTCATTCTATTCAATAACACTTTATTAATCCCGAAGGGAAATTAATTAGTTCATGTTTGGGTATTTGTTAATGTTTATTTCTGAAACTATATTATTTGAATATTTATTTACTTGAAGTTTTTTTTTTCATTAAAAATACCATGTTTGTTTTAATAAAACTATTTCTTTTTTTTATTTATTGGTTCAGAAATGACACTACGATGCCTCAGGTGTGCTGTACTTAAGTATGTGTGATAAATAAATTATTTATATAAAACGTGTTTTAAACTGTGTCTATGCGATGAAACGTGTCTGAAACCATACAGATGTGTAGGTGTTTGTACAGTTACTGTATAGGAAGTATGTGTGGTTGATGTGAATGTGCAGAAGTGATTTTGGCGCTCCTCGCCCGTCGCGGCTCACCGTCAGTCTGCGGGTCTGAGTGTGCAGAAACAATGTGTGTTGCCTTTTGTGGTCTGTCAAAGCTTAGAGACGGTCGATAATGTGCTAGCTTTGTTCTCTTTTTACTGTAATGTATTTCATGAAACATTTTATATAAACTTTCAAAAAGTAGTCATTTAATGTACACAACTCCAAATAGTTATAAGTCCATTTTACCTTGAAGTGAAATGTGTGAATCAGAGCATTACATCTTGCACCATCGCATGAGATCACGCAGATTTTCAAGTTAGACCAAAACGGCTACAACTCTCCCTTCTCATCATAAGCAGGGGCGCTACCAAGAGGAGGCCAGCTGGGGCAATGGGCACCTCTAAAAAGTTGTTGCCCCTCCCCCTGACCAGACAGTTTTATCCTCTTGAGTCCCGAGCTTTAACGCTTGGTGTGAATTTTTTGATTTCCCCGAGATATTTAGGATTAACAACCTCATAAAACATGACAACATTGTTTTTGAGCAATTAGGAGTTAAAAACATCTATTTTATTTAAAAAAAAACAAAAAAAAAAAACATAAAACTTAAAATAGTACCCCTATCAGTTTCAAACATCAGAATAAAGGCACGCTGTATGTATAACATTTTTTATAAATATAAATTTAGAAGCGGTATTGAGGTCACCACTTGAGTAAGTAGTCGGTGCTTTTCTAATAAAAATCAACTGTAAATAAAAAAATTTTAAAAATCAAGTTTAAAGTAGATCTGTAGATTAGAAGCTGATTCTTGACTCATAATGCTGTATTTTAATCTATATGTGACAACATCAATCTGCTGAAACTGTTCTGGCTTTTGGTTTTGGTGCCTCCCCAGGATTTTCAGTGGCCCCCACACGGCCACCCCATTTAAGCATTTCTGACGGCGCCCACTGATCCTAAGATGACCTGCAACTTCTACTTGAAAGGCAGCGAGAGATTTGCTTTCTTCCAGTACAGGCTAGGCCTTTATTTTTTGCTGACTTTTCTCACTATAAACTGTTAGAAATTCTTTAATTTCAATAATATTCATGTTAAAGGGGCTACAACCTCTTAAATGTCATCAATTTTTGCACCATTGTTTTTAAAGCGACTCAGAGACATTATTTGCAACTTGCATGAAGAATCCTTGTACAGTATACGAAAGCCTCGCAGACTTAAAAAAACATGTTTCTGCTCTTAAATAACCACAGCAATTTAAAGATTTAATCCAAATCTCACTGTAATCTGGACGAATTGTTGACTTTGCGTTGTAATTGGTATGAAGGTGATAATGCAACACACAAAACATGCAGTATAAATAGATTTTCTGACTGAAGCGTTCATGTGGTTTGCAGGTGACAGGCACTTTAGAGGAGAGTGAAAACACACACAACCCCCACAGCCTGAGGCTAACCTTATTACGGGTAGCATCGATCTGCCGTAGACGCACACCACCGGATGTTTGTACAGTTCACGTGTGTGAGAAAGAGGTTCATCACAACTGTTGTGCGGAGACAACTGCAAAATCGTGCACGATACAGTGAAAATTATTAAAATGTAATTAAGCGGACAAAACTAAAACAGGAATGAATGCAATAAAGTAAAAAAAAAAACCCTCAATATTGGAGTTCACTGATTATTCTTACGAGAGCTGTATTTGCATTCAGCTGAAATATATGTGCCGAACTCCATTTGAATAATAGGATAAGATAAAACTTTATTGATCATGCAAGAAATTGTTGTGCCAGAGTTTCAATGCAAAGGAACATACACAAGATATAATGGTATCTATAGAAGACTTGGGCAACTTAAGGCCTGAGATCTTGGACAATCTCCATCAGGCCCCAATGTCCTTAGTTCCAAATTCAAAAAGCGTTCATTACAAAAACTTTGTTCCAAAGAAATCAACTTTTTTTTTTTTTTAATAGATTGATTAAAAAAAAAAAAAAAACCTGCAGACTTAAGGAAATTTAAATTAAACATCCTACGCAAAACTTTTTTTTTTAATAATTGTGTTACCAGGACTAGATTGAACCTTAAAGACTTAGAAACATAAATACATGTTTGTTTTGCATATTTCCACTAACATGTATAAAATGGGGCAGCACGGTGGCGCAACTGGTAGAGCTGCTGCCTCTCAGCGAGAAGGATCCCGGTCCAGGGGCCTTTCTTGGTGGAGTTTGCATGTTCTCTCTGTGCATGCGTAGGTTTTTTCTGGGTACTCCTGTTTCCTCCCACAGACCAAAAACATGCATGTTAGGCTGATTGGTAACTCTAAATTGTCCCTAGGTGTGAGTGAGAGACTGAACGGTTGTTTGTCTCTATGTGGCCCAGTGATGCTGTTCAGGGTGTCCCTCGCCCCTCGCACAATGATTGCTGGACATGGGCACCGGCGACCCCCATGACCCAAAATGGAAGAAGCGGGTAAAAGATAAATGATGGATGTATAACATGTTGTCACAAGAGGCAGTTTGCAGAATAAGATAAGATAGAACTTCATTGATCCCACAGGAAATTGTTGTGCCAGAGTTTCAGTACAAAGGAACATATACTAGGAATCGCAAGATATAAAAAAAATAACACAGAATTTAAAAAAATAACAGAGAATATAAAAAATATTTTAAAACATACCAACAATTATGTTCTAAACAGGTCAGGTGCAGACAGAAACAAAGAGTTTATTGTAATACAGGATTCATTTTATTGTTCTATATGCAGAAAGGGGGAGAAGTTGAAAAGTATGTCTTATATTCCTTGCGGATATCGGAAAGATGTTTTTATAAAGCACTCTAACTATGCTACAACAAGAAAAAGCCTGAAAAAGGTATGTGTCACACAGAAAATTTTCCAGTTCTCTACACGGCCTTTGGACTGATTTAAACGTCTTGATGTGGCCCTTCAGAAAAATATGCTGCCCACCTCTAATCTATAGTACAATAGTTTACAAGATTTTTTATTAACATTATTTAGACAGAACATCAGGCTGTTTCCTCATTATGGTCGAGCTGCAGACACCTGTAAGCTGAGCCTCTTCCCGCCCAAAATGCAGCTATTATTGTTGTCAGGAAACAGATGTGAGTTCACACACTGGAAAGAAGGTCTGTTTGTGACTGTGGTCTTATGTGTCTGCACGGTATGGCTGTGTGTGTGTGTGTGTGTGTGTGTGTGTGTGTGTGTGTGGGCGGTGGGTTTCGGAAAATGTGACTTGACATTTCTTACACTTTCTCTCCCTCTGACTTCAGGTTAAATGCACACACGTTAATGCAGGCAGTGCATGTGAGCGTTGATGTGTGACTGAGAGATGACCTTGGTCCGCTGAGGTGGAGACCAGAACGCTGGATGGGAAGTGGTTACGTACAGTCTGGCGTTTGATCAGCTCCTCCAAGTTGAAACAAGGCCCATTGCAGACAAGTTGAGCGCGCAGAGACACCAGCGCTGTGAGAGTAAGGCTCATATGAATCACTCGAAACGTCCGGGCACCACACAATCACTGGAGGAATTAAGAGAAATTTGTTCCAGATGATGTATAGCACATAGACTGTGTTAGTGACACGCTCGTACAGACGAGCTCCAAAAACAGCCACCCTGGGAAACGGTGAATTCCCCAAACCACAGAGTGCACAAGAGGGTGAGGGGAGTCATGGGAAAGCAGGATGCCTGCATGCAGTACCACCGAGACCAGACAGAGCTAAAGGAAACACGGAAACAAATCAAAGCCCCGCCTGATCTGGCACCGGCTCATGCCGACATCTGATGGTTCAAAGGCCTACGGGTCAGATTTACACACAAGCTGCGGTCGGTTGGCCGGCCGGCCGGTCCGGTTGACATGCAGGGTGAGGAAAGTCGACTGCAGCTCTGCTACCAGACCGACACAGTTTAGGGAAAACCCAGAAGTGTCTGGGAATGGCTGTGGCTCCACCGTATTTTGGGGGGCCCAGAGGACATGGGGGAGCCCAGCTAGGTGGAAATGTTTACTAACAGGAGGGATGAGTTGCAGAGACTAAATCAAGGTGAGGTGGTGTCCGAAAGCTTTCACTGCAAGTGATCTAGGAAGAGGATGTGAAGCCAGGGGTTGGATATGGAGGATTGTGTAAAATTCAAACTCCAAAACAACTCGAGTACCTGCCCATCAAACCATTCTTTGACATTTAGCCTCCCAGATTAGTCTTTAAAATCTATGTTGCATATGTACCCTTCAAATAAAACTCCTTTATTACAGCCCACCAAAGAATAGATTGAGGCAACATTTTAGATCTTTTGAAGTTGTCATATAGGAATGTTAGAAACAATATCTTACCTGCTGTAGAAAGCTCCTTAAACAACCTCAGTTTAGAGAAATAATACTTAATAGTGACCACACAAACAAGCTGATGACGGGGGTTTAAACAAACATTAATTTATAAATCTTACACTGCCATCAGATTCAGATTGTAGGCACTTAAATAGAATTATATAGCAGCAGCAGCAGCAGCTTGCTGTAGCACTTCCAGTGCAGCTTGAGACACAGTTCAGGCAAGAAAATCATAATATATCTGCTGGAATGACCATGTAATTGTTAGTTAGCAAAATTCAATTCAGTTTATTTATATAGCACCAAGTCACAACAGAAGTCGTCTCACACTGAACAGAAACATTCACATGCACAAAAATCAGATAATAACAATATTTATCTGAGGAGCAGATTGCTTCGAGTTTACATTTTGTCACAGTCTCCCGTCCTAAGCAAGCACAGATGCAACAGTGGAAAGGAAAAACTCCCTCATGAGGAAGAAACCTCCAGCAGAACCAGGCTCAGGACAAGAGGCCATCTGCTTCGACTGGCTGGAATTGAGAGGACAGGAAGGAGGAACAGATACACAATGGCAGGTCCAGGATGGAGGCAATCAGGTTTTCTCAAGGAGGAAAGACAAAAAGACAGAAAGGACATGTAAAGAAAGAATAATTACAAATACAAACTATTAATTTGTATGCATTTGAGATTTGAGACACACAGATTTTTAAAGTGGCTTTAAGAATCTGTTGGACTCCTGGCAAGGACCAATGCAGACATGTTCCTGTTTTTAGTTTTCTACGTTCGCCTTATAATCTAGCTGTTTTAGTTACTCTTTTTGCCATCTTATTTGTAAAAAAAAAAAAAAATCTGTATGCCTTTTTTATATTGTTGTCGCTGTTGTCCATTGTTGTCATTATTCTTTGTTGAAATCACGTCGCTCTTGTAAATGAGTCCTCGAGGCTCAATGGGATTGACCTGTCTAAATAAAGGTTGAATGAATTTGTGTTCATTTGATGAAATGAGGTCAATTTGTCCTCCAGTAGTCTCAGGTTATAGCAGCATAAGATAAGGAACAGGTCAGAAAACCAAGCCATCTAACTATAGGATTTAACAAAAAGGAAAGTCTTAAGACCAGTCTTAAAACTGGACAATGTGTCAGCCTCATGGACAGAAACTGGAAGTTGGTTCCACAAGAGAGGAGCCTGATAACTGAAAGATCTTCCTCCTGTTCTATGCTTGGAAACTCTAGGAACAGCAAGTAAACCTGCAGTCTGAGAGGGAAGTGCTTTGTGTGTAACGATAAGATCTCCAATATAAGATGGAGCTAGGTTGTTGAGAGCTTTGTAGGTTAGAAGTAAGATTTTGAATTCAATTCTGAATTTGACAGGGAGCCAATGGAGAGAAGCTAAAACTGGAGAGAGATGATCTCTCCCACTAACTCCAGTTAAGACTCCGGCTGCAGCGTTTTGGATCAACTGAAAACTTTTTAAAGAAGCATTTGGACACCCAGATAACAAACCATTGCAATAGTCCAGTCTAGATGTGATAAATGCATTAAGAAGTGGTGTAAAAGTTTTTAAAATGGTGTTTTGAGATTTGAATTGTTTTAAGACGGCAGCAATCCACTACGGTCACATTGGCACTGCTCAGATCAGCCGTTAGCTCATCAATCCAGCCCAAATTAAGCTAATTCTATAGTACAATGTGGACTGTTCATAACTTTTCAGAACTTCATTTAAAAAGGTCCTGAATTAACACTTTAAGAATATAGTTTTTTTTTTTTAAATAGCATCATTTTAACTTTTAGTTATTTATTTTTTGTTTTTAAAAAGCAGGAAAACAATTAAAACCACAATCGAACTCCTGATTGTGTTGAAGTAACGGCATCATCCTCTGATTCACGACCCCCCACCCCCACCCTTCAAACTGACTTTGAAAAATGTTTCTGTCCAATCAGAAGCTGCCTTTATTCACGCAGGATGTTTATGTTTAGAGGTATAGGTTCTCAGTTCCCTCCCTTTAACCCCCTCTAACACACACACACACACACACACACTTTCACTCTTTCTCATTTACCTCCATTTAATCCCCACGCCTGACGAGTGACGAAACACGTCTTTTGAAATGGTCACAAAGTTAGACAGGTGAGCAGCATTCTGTTGATTCGTGGAATCTTTTATCTTTGTTTGTCCTTCAGCTGCATATGCAAATTGTAGAGTTAAAAAAAGAATCAGAAAGTGATTTTTTTTATTTTTTATTATTTAGCTTTTACTAGGCTCCGATTCTATAATATAGTGCGGTCAAAGTTTCAGTATTAATAACTGCTGAAAAACTGTCTTGGTTTCGCTAAAAATGTGAAACTGAGACGGAGAAAAAGGGGTTTGTTAATGAATGTAAGAAGCCGCCTCACTGCCCAGTACTCAAGTTCAGTTAACCACAGACTTTACATGCATTTCTCATTGTAACTTGTCAGTTTAATCTAGTCTCTATTTGAACAATGTGAGCAGATGTTATTGTTGTTAAGATTAATAATTATGCCTAATGCCAGTTAATCTGAATTGAAAAATAATGCTGCCCTAAAAAAGTCAAATCTGAAAAGTATTCTGTTAGTATGCTGCATCATGCACAGTTTGAACACCACACACACACACACACACACATATGATAATATA